GCCTCAAACCTGTTCCTGTGATGGTTCTGAAATTCAGGGGGTGATAGACTCAAAGTCATATTTTTGTTCCTGAGGACTTTGTTTAATTTTCCCCAGCTTCATCTGGAACTTGAATATGAGTAGTTGATGCTCTGTTCCACAATCAGCTCCTGGCCTAGTTTTCACAACTGATATTGAGCTTCTTCAGTGGTTATTTCTGCAGATATAATCAATCTGATTCCTATGCATACCATCAGGTGAAATCCATGTATATAACCTGTGTTTATGTCTCTTAAAAAACATATTTGCAATGAATAAGTCATTGATTGTCCAAAATTCGATCATTCTCTCTCCAGCTCCATTTCTGTCACTGAGTCCATGTTTTCCAACTACTGAATCTTCTTCTCTGTTCCCAACTTTTGCATTCCAGTTACCCATTATTATCAATGCATCTTGATTGCATGTTTGATCGCTCTCCAACTGTAAAAGTTGATAAAAATCTTCTATTTCTTCTTCCTTGACTCTGGTTGTTGGTGCATATATCTGAATTATAGTGGTATTCACTGGCCTTCCTTGTATGTGCATGGATATTATCCTGTCACTCACAATATTGTACTTCAAGATGGATCTAGTATATTGTTAAGGAAGAAATGAAACGCATAAATATTGACATAGTAGGTATTGGTGAGATTAGATGGACTGATAAAGGGTCATTTTGAGTCAGATGATTTTATATTACTCTGGAGATGAAAAGGTGAGGATAAATGGCAGAGTAAGTTATGCAAATATTCTGCTCTGAATTTATAATGTGTGAAAAATACAAAGAAACTTCATTTTTATTTCAGAACTTTATTTTGTCTAACAGTTAAACATATAACTCAAACCAAACTCACTTTTGTGGAGTAGATTCCCGTTGTCGGCAAACTCATCCATTTTCCCAGGCTATAATTCTTTCCAGGGTGAGCCTATCCATCTTTTTCCCAAGACTGGTTGGATTTGAACTGGCAATATACCTTCAGGTTTACAGCCCGATACATTACCCACAATGCCATCAATGATCCTTTAAATATGTTGTTGTTGGTAAGTGCTATCCAGTCAAATGTGACCCTATGAACAACAGATCTGAACCCTGTCCAGTCCTGTGCCATCTTTGTCATCTCTTAAGCTCATTGCTGTAGCCTCTGTATGAATCCATTTATCAAGGGTCTTCCTCTCCTCTGACCTTTACAAGCATGATGTCCGTTTTCAAAGAGTAGTCTCTCCTAGTACTATGTCTACAGTATGTGAGACAAAGCTTTTTCATCCATGCCTCCAAGGAGCATTCTAGCTGCACTTCCTCAGAGACCTCTTTGTTCTTTTGTCAGTTCATGGGATATTGAGCACTCTTTGATATCAAATTCTACTTCTGTCATCCTTATTTATTGTCCAGCTCTCAAATGCATAGCAAGTGAATAAAAATAACAAAGCCTAAATAAGGGGCACCTTAGTCTCCAAACAGACATGATTGCTCCTCAAGACTTTGAAGAGGTCCCTCGCAGGAGACTTGCCCAATGCAATGTTTCCTAATCTCCTGACTGCCGGTACCAAGGATGTTGATTGTGTATCCAAGTAAGATGAAATAGTTGAAAATTTCAATCTTCAAACATGAAAGACTCAAATAACTTCCTCCTTGCTGTGTGGAGTGAGACTGCAAATCACAGGGTAGGAAATTGCCTTTCTTGCTCCTGCAGAGCACTTTGTGGATTTGAATCGCTTATTGTTGAATTCCTTACCCATCAGGCCACTAGAGGTTCTTTAAACATCTGAAAGTAAATATTAAACATTGGGTTAGAGGGGACGCTGTATGTATAGAGCTGGGCAGTGCTCAGCCCTCTCTAGCCTGTGCAGATGACCTAGGAAGTCCGGATGGTGCCATGCTGAGCTCATTTTCTCCAGAAGGCAGGGCAGAGACAAGTGGGTACTGCGCATGCTCACCAGGCTTGGGCCTATTGGCAAAGAGCGAGGGCTGTTACTTTGGTCTGGTGGAACGGTTGCAGAGATTTTTCCTCTGAACCGGGGGAGCCCGAGGGCACGGGGGCGGGGTTTCCTAAAAGAGCCTTGACTGGTTCTAGAGACCTTTGGTGCTGCCGTTAACGACTTGAGTGCCGTCATGGCCGACCAAACCATTCGCGATGAGATGACCGTCCAGGTGCTAAGAGACTTGGCCAACCGCCTTCGAATCCATTCCATCAGGGCTGCCTGTGCCTCCAGCTCCAACCGGCCCACGTCGTGGTGCAGCGCCGCAGAAATCATGTCGGTGCTGTTCTTCCACACAATGAGGTATAAACCGACAGAGCCAGAACACCCAGATAACGACCGATTTGTCCTCTCTAAGGGCCACGCTGCGCCCATCCTTTATGCTGTTTGGGCAGAGGCAGGTGACCTCAGAGAATCAGACCCGCCGAGCTTGAGGAAGATTGACTGTGACCTCGAGGGACATCCTACCCCTAGACTGTCATTTGTTGATGTGGCAACAGGATCTCTTGGGCAAGGACTAGGCGCAGCATGCGGAATGGCATATACAGGCAAGTACTTCGACAAGGCCAGCTACCGGGTGTACTGCCTCATTGGAGATGGGGAGACCTCTGGAGGCTCAGTCTGGGAGGCTCTGGCTTTCGCTTCCTACTACAGTTTGGACAATCTCGTAGCAATCTTTGACGTGAACCGCTTGGGACAAACTCGTGTTACACCAGTTGAGCACTGCACAGATGCTTGTCAGATGCGCTGTGAAGCCTTTGGGTGGAATACTTACTTAGTGGATGGCCATGATGTGGAGGGGTTGTGCCAAGCCTTTTGTCAAGCAACTCTAGTGAAGAACAAACCCACTGCTGTAATTGCCAAGACTTTCAAGGGCCGGGATATTCCAAATATTGGGAATGCTGAAGATTGGCATGGGAAATCAGTCCTCAAAGAGAGGGCAGATGCAGTTATCAAATTAATTGAGAGCCAGATACAGACCAACAAGAGTCTCATACCAAAACCTCCTATTGAAGACTCACCTCAAATCTGCATCACAGATATAAAAATGACCTCTTTACCTGCTTATCAACTCGGTGACATAGTAGCTACTCAGAAAGCATTTGGCTTGGCTCTGGCTAAACTGGGTCGTGTGAATGGAAGAATCATTGTCCTTGATGGGGACACAAAAAACTCCACCTTTTCTGAGCTATTCAAGAAAGAACACCCTGAGAGATTCATTGAATGTTTTATTGCTGAACAAAATATGGTATGTGTGGCTCTGGGCTGTGCTGCCAGGGGTCGAACCATTGCTTTTGCTTGTACCTTTGCTGCCTTTTTGACTCGAGCATTTGATCAGATCCGAATGGGAGCCATCTCTCAAACCAATATCAGTATTGCTGGTTCCCACTGTGGTGTGTCCATAGGTGAAGATGGACCCTCCCAGATGGCACTGGAGGATCTCGCAATGTTTCGAAGCATTCCCAATTGCACTGTTTTTTATCCAAGTGATGCTGTCTCAACAGAGTATGCTGTTTGTCTGGCTGCCAATACCAAGGGGTTGTGCTACATTCGGATGAGTCAGTCAGAGACTGCAGTTATTTATTCCTCAGAAGAAAACTTTGAGATCGGGCAGGCCAAGATTGTCCGCCACAGTGTCAATGACAAGGTCACAGTTATTGGAGCTGGAGTTACTCTACATGAAGCCTTAGCAGCGGCTGATGATCTTTCTAAACAAGGAATTTCTATCCGTGTCATAGACCCATTTACTATTAAACCCCTGGATGCTGCCACCATCATCTCCAACGCAAAAGCTACAGGCAACCAGGTTATCACAGTGGAGGATCATTACCAGGAAGGTGGCATTGGGGAAGCGATATGTGCAGCTCTGTCTGGGGAGCCTGACATCCTTGTTCATCAGCTGGCAGTGTCAGGAATCCCTCGGTGTGGGAAACCTAGTGAATTGTTAGATATGTTTGGAATCAGTGCCAAACACATTATAGCAGCTGTGAAAAACATTCTCATGATCCAAAATAGGGTTTGGTCTTAAAACAGTTATTAACAAAACCTTTTTGTTTTTTGTTGTTGCTTTTTGTTTGTTGGTTTGTTTTTTTTTTTAAAGAAACCTGGTTAACAGTTTTCTTCAGTCTAAGTTCAGAAATTCAAGTTTACTGTCTTCTGTTAAACTCTGGCTCCAAAAGCAAACATCATTCATTTTTGAGTCATTAAAATGTGTTACAAACTGTTTTGTAACAGAATAACAAATACCTCGTAAAATTTTTCTAATAAGACTACAGATGAGTGGACTGGGGATCAGAGGTTCTTATATGTATACTATGTACTTACTTGTAAGTTTATATTAAAAAAGAAAAAAAGTGAGTTTGTGGGCTTCCGTAGACTAGATTTTGAAGTACTGCCACGGTAATGTATTTTCTGAGTTGGAGCTATTTATATAGTGCCATCCTTCCTTCAGCTTCTCAGATAGTATTTGACTGCAGTTGTCTCAGAATTTATTGTGATGTTGGTAATCTCTGCAGTACTGAGACTGAAAGCAGCAGTGAAGCTCAAGGTCTGCACTGTTTGTGATGACAGTTGTATACAGAGATGAAAGCATAGCCATTTCTAGTCTGCATGTACTATGTGAGGATTTGGAAGTGTTCACATTATCAGACACTAAATCAGAATTCTGCTTTCATTTATCTGCTCAGGAACCTACTTAAAGTCAATGTTAATAAAGCATTTAAAAACTAATTGCTTTATTGAATTTTTGCCCTGTATGTGTGATTTTAGTTACTCTTGGATAAAACCCTATTAAATAAGGTTGAAATTTGTGTAAACCACAAACCTGTTTTCTAGGCAGAAAAAAAAAAAAAAAGACTGAGCACAACAGTTAATTAACTGTTAATTGACTATTTTTTTTTTAAATTTTAAGTTGTTTACTTACAAAGTTCAAGTACATTGTTTTTCACACCAGGTCTTTCCCCTTTCCTTTACCCATCTCTCCCTCCACACATCAAACTGTTCAACCCTATCTATGATTAAGACCTCCCATCCTCACCCCTCTGCTCCCCCCTCCTCACCTTGGATCCTTTAAGACATTCTATAATAGTGGTCTAATACAGTGTTTGTCCTTATGGAACTGAGTTAGTTCACTTAGCATACTGTTCTCCAGTCCTTCCCAAGTTAGGTGGTAACTTACAAAATCATTGCTGCTTTGTGCTGCATAGTATTGCATTGTGTGAATGTATCATAATTTCTCAATCCATTCCATTGTGGTTGGACATTTGGGCTGTTTCCGTGTTCTTTGTTGTTGTTGTTGCTTATGTATTTTTAAAATTTTCATTTTATATTGGTTTGCTTACAATGTTTGTATACATTGTGTTTCACACTATTCTTAATTCACATTATGTTTCATATACAATTCACATTATGTTTCATGTTTCATGCACATTGTGTTTCATATGTTAATTGACTCTTAACTTGGTTGTTAACTAAATGGCTGGTGGTTTGGATCCACCAGTTACTCATACAGACAAAAGAACTGTTCCTGCGTAGATAACAGCAAGACACCCTATGGACAGTTCTATTTTGTCTCATAGGATCACTAAGACTTTCTCAAATCAGGGAGGCTGAATGAACCCTTGAAAATATTATTGCCCTGTGAGCGCTTTTAGGCCTTAGATGAAAACAATTTTCAGATTTCTTAAAACAGGACAATAGCTCTATTGTTGTTGATTATCATCAAGTCTTGCACAATTCATAGCGACCCTATGAACAAAAGGCCTGAAGCCTTTCTATATGACTATCATCGTTTCTCGAAGTTCATAGAATTTCCAAAGACATGTAATTTAAGAAGTGGATGCCACTCCTGCTTCCAAACCTGTCTTAAACTGGGAGCTCCGCCAAACACTGTGCTCCATGGACGGTAATTATGGCATTTGACTCCTCAATGGCTGGCACAAGGTTCAGATTCATAGAAAACTCAGATTATTGGCAGAAGAGTACTGTACAACTTAGAGGAATGTTCCTTCAAAATAACACTAGGTCTCTAGGCCCAACCAACTTTTAAATACAAGGGTCCTCCATATACATATGAACAAAAGGCCTGAAGCCTTTCTGTAACTATTGTCATTTCTCCAAGTTCATAGAGTTTCCAGAGGCATGCGGTTTAGGAAATGGATGCCACTTCTGCTTCTAAACCTGAATCAGTCTGGGATCTCCACAAACACTGCCCACGATGGGTAACTTTTATGGTATTTGACACAGCTAGAGCACAGTTGTTCAGCATTATAGCCACTCCAGGTTATTTCAGTACAGCAAATAGACAACTGCTATACCACTTAAAGGAATGTATATCCCAAAATCAGTTAACATTTGGCCCAAGGGCCTCCAAACATTCCATATGTGACCCTCGTCAAGATGTGAGAAGCTATTTTGCAGAATCACACCAATTCATAGGAGTCACCAGTCTGCAAACTTAGCCAAGCATTATTGTATTTTTAAATTCAGGCACACCCAAATGCTGGTGGATTATAAACCAGAGACCCCCAGTCCATCTGGCAAGTCCAATCTGATCACACCCACATGTGGAAGAAAATAAAACTTACCTAGTTAAAAAAAGATCTGCCTTGAGCTTTTAAAAGAGCCGAACGAGATCAAATTTACAGCAAACAACTCAAAGGATAATATAGGAACTTTAGAGGATACTGAGTTTATATAAATGGAGGACTGACTCATTTAAAGGTGATGAGAATGGTTGCACAAGTTGAATACTATCAGTGCCGCATGTAAAACCTAATTAGTGTGTGCAAGTGTTGTAAGGATATCTGGTAGTGTAATGCCTAACATTTCAGGCTACTAATAGAAAGGTCAGGGAGCTATGGTCGATTAGTGGGAAGGAAGTGAGCTGCCAATGCAAGGGCAAACAGTTTGAATCCACCAAACTGTAGAAGAAAATCCACCAAACTCTGAAAGAAAATCTGCAGGAGAACAGTGTGGGTCCATTACAACTTGACACTAAAGTTGGAATTTACCAGCCAAATTGCAGGGGGAAATGATGGGCAATCTCCTCCCATTAAGATACATATTATTGTTATGTGTCATCAAGTCACCTGTGACTCATAGCGACCCTGTGTACAACAGCTCTGAACCCTGCTCTACCTTGAGCCAGCCTTATTGTCTCTGACAACACCTACTCCCATTATCCCAGTCACTGAGTCAATTCATTGCATTCATGATCTTCCTTTATTGTGCTGTCCCTCCACCCTTTCATGCATGATATCCCTCTCTAAGGACTGGCCCATCCTTGCAATATGCCCAGTGTATGTGGGACAGAGTTTCAAAATCCTTACCTCTAAGGAGCAGCTTGGTTTCACCGTCTCTGAGACATATCTGTTTGTTCTCCTGGCAATCCAGTTCAAAACTCTTCTCCAGCAAAACTCAAAGGCATCAATTCTCTTTCTATCATCCTTAGTCATTGTCCAGTTCTCTGATGCATAGCAAGTAATTTTGAAGATCATGAACTGGAATCAGGTGCACTTTAATCTCCAGATGAACATCATTGCTCCTCAGTTCTCTGGAGAGATCCCTGACAGCAGACTTTTCCCAAAGCAATTCAATTTCGTGGCTGCAGGTACCAAGATTTTTGAGTGTGGAGCCAAGCAAACTGAAGCTGTTAACAATCTCATTCTCTTCACCACCTTATTATGTTGCTGTCAATTGGTCCAGTGGTGAGAATCTTTGTTTTCTTGATGTTGAGCTTCACTTCATATTGAATGCTGCAGTCCTTGATCTTCTGCAGCAAGTGCCTTAGATTCTCCTCAGTTTCAGCAATCAGGGTTGTGTTATCTGCATAACACAGGTTGTTGATGAGTCTACCTCCAATCCTGATGTCACATTCTTCCTCATAAAGCCCAACTTTCTGGATGATCTGTTCTGCATATAGATTGAAAACATATGGAGATAGCACACATCCCTGATGTACACCCTTCCCGATTTTGAACCATGAAGTGTTGTTCCCTTGCTCTGTAGTGATAACTGCCTCATTGTCCAAGAGTAGATTTCACATAAGCACAATCAAATGTTCTGGGATTCCCATTCCTCTTAGAGTTACCTACAGCTTGCTGTGAACCACATAGTCAAATTCTGCCACATAAACAATGAAACACAGTCATTCCACTGGTACGCTGCTTTTAGCCAAGATCCAAAAAACATGAGATACAACATCCCTAGTGCCATGGTCTCTTCTAAACCCAACCTGAGCATCTGGCAGGTCTCTGTTGATGTGCTGGTCCAGTAATTTTTGCATCATTTTAGGTTCTTGCTTTCATGTGATATTAGTGATATTGCTCTATAATTTTCATACTCTATCAGGTCACCTTTTTTTATTTTAAATGGAAACAAATATGATCTCTTCCAGTCAGTTGGCCAGGTGGTTGTCCTCCAGATTTCTTGACACAATTTGGTGAGCACATCCAGGGCAATGTCTAACAGTTGTTCCTCTTCCTTTGCGTTTCCATATTTGAGGGCTCAGCCTTGGTTGCCATTATCTACTAGTCTAGTCTAAGTGTGCTCTATTGTACATAGGGTTTCCGAAGGTCTGTTATTTTGGAAGTGGATGACCAATCCTCCTTCCTAGTCTGTCTTTATTTGAATACTCAGATTTAGAACAGTATCTGGCAGACAAAAATTTTACAGAAAGCAGATAGAAGTAGGGAAGTTAGTTTTGTTTTGATTTTTTTGGTAAGTTCATTTTTTTGTTTTGATGCCGCATATATTAGCAAAAACAAAAATAAGTACAAAATTTTTAAAAGGGCAAATAAGCTAGAGTAGCTTTGAGGTATTGAGATAAGGTATTGATTGAGATAATATTTAAATGTAAAGAAAAATACTGAAGATACAAAAACATACAGCATAGTTTTCAGATATGTAAGTAGTAAGATTTTCCCCTGAAGGTCTATGACATTCATACTTATAAGTTTGTTTATAACCATAGTATATATGAATGAGATTTCTAAAAACTAACAGCGGGACCTGTGTCTATAACTCGAG